TCACTAACAATAAACACTCCTAATAATCTTCTTTAAACGACAGGACGAAAAACAACACAATGTGTGCATATAAGCCGCCTTTTAAATGTCTAGAATAAACTAACCATCAATATTGTTTAAGTCATTCTATTTTAAAATTCCTTTTTTGTGCAATACTGTCATTCTTAAAATCATAATTATCAGAAGGAACATATGGTTTTGTTAGTAATTTATATTTAAGTTCATCTGATAAATTTGATTTATTAATATAAAATCCTAAATCTGGATATGACTCACAATCATTTGGCATATAAATAATAGTTAATGTAGGTAGGTACCGTATTAATTGACGTAGAACATTCCGGGTTTGAATTTACTTGAGGAAAAGCACTTGTAACTATCTTTCGATGTGTGTGGCTCAAGCACAGCAGATGCATTATCTTCATCAGATTTTTTTTTTAATTAAAAACGATCGAATATCCATAATAAAAATTGGAAATTTTTAAAAATAATATTGAATAATCACTAATGACACTCGCAGCAGTCAGCACTAAATATAATGTCACACAGAAGTGGACGACTAAAATGTAGTCAATGTTGTCTGATAAAATATTTGTTGATCAGCAGAAACATTCGCCATACTCGAAGYCACATTAACCGCACTCTCCTCTAACCACGTTAAAGTTCTCATCTTAAGTGACTCTATGAGCGCGGTCACCTCAATAACCAACGTACATACAAATTGCAACCTCGCCCAAAGCATTCAAAACATAATTCTCTCAACCGACAAATCCATCAAACTCATGTGGGTTCCATCTCACATCGGCATCCCCAGTAATGAACTCGCTGACGAACTGGCGATGAAAGCTGCTAGCTCCCCGGACACCAAAATATACCCGCATGTAACATACGACGATGTAATCCGCGCCCTCAAAACGAAATTATACACCCTCTGCCAGAATCAATGGGAAAAACAATCCAACCAAAACAATAAACTCAGACAAATAAAACCATTAACCAAAAAATGGCCGGACCCTCCAGTCAAACTTACACGACATGAAGAGACCATGATCGCCAGAGTATTACGCATCGGACATACCAGAATCACTCATTCCTATCTTATGCGTARAGAGCTSAAACCCAGGTGTGAAACATGCAACTGCGAACTCACCGTTAAACATATATTCCTAGAATGCCCCACTTACCATAACGCCAGATCAAAAGCAARMATRAACACCYCMTCACTCAAAGACGCACTCGGACCAGGACAAGAAAAAAACATAGTAAACTTCATCAAGATGGCCGACCTTACAACCAACATATAAGACAAGAACCAAAGACAGCACATCAAAACTATCAAATCTCTACTATATTATAAATTAAACATGTAAACCATTGTAGGCTAATAAACATTTGTATTTGAAGCCTTTAATTAATAAAAAATAAAAATAAAACTAAAAATATTTGTAGTACCTATATTGTGATCTTTATGGATTTACCACAAATTATCTGCGATAAATAATTTTACGTATCCTATATATAACCTACCTATACGGACTACAGACTACGACCTATCTATTATGTTAATATACGATAACAATGAGTGTATTTTWATACTTATTTCATATCTTAAAAGTGATTTTAACAAATAATCTGCCTCGGTAATAAGGTAATATACTAATATTGTGGTAATATTTATTGAGCTACAAGTTCATAATATTTTTTCCAGTGGGGGCAAGTGCCTTGTCTTCCCCCCCCCCCTCAATGGGCGCCCATGAGTATATACATTATTTATACACGTACCTAAGAGCTAAACTGCATATTTTATGCCTCAAATCAACAATAGGAATATAAGATTTTAAAAGCTGCAGCTCTCGTAAGACAAAATTCTATCAACATAAAAAAAGACAAACAATAAGTACAAATAGAAAAAAAATTAAGAAATATAATATAAAATACAATATATTATAAACTGAACTAAGTACGTATTTAGCCGAATGGCCTGAACAACATTTGGAAATTACACATTCTCAAATTTGAAATATTTTATACCTACTTTACACAAAATATAAACTATTATAATTCTAATTTATAAATTGATAATTTTTTTGTGAAAAACTGATATATTAGAATTCACTTAATTACTTCAACATAATTATATATATCACATACATTACCGATTTGTGTTGGTTCACTATTTTCATCAAATACTTCTTTGCATAAATATACTACAGTATTCAAACTCGACATAATTATGTTTAATCATTTATTAACATATAATCACATATTTTAATGAATTTGTCGATAACATGATTAAACAACTACAGATAGGTAGGTATGAAAAACGAATAGAAAGAAGTATGCACTATCTTTGAATCATGTATACATTTAAATATGTTATTTCAATGGTTATTGTAAGTTATTAAAGTTATTTAGTTAACTATATAATACCTAGTGTCCTAGTAACACAACAAACAATAATGTTATGACTAGCAAATTTGTGTTGTGTGTATATAGCAATTAAACGCCATGGTGAATGAGTTTTCTGTTACCACAGCAACCATTTATACCATTTGTATACGTAGACTAACGACTGCCATCAACAGATCACAAGCTGTACCGGTCTTTCAATCCTAGCCACATCTCCCGATATCTATGGTTTCATTTTACTTTACTTGTTTATGAAATAAATCTATTCTAAATAATGATTAATAATTAAAAAATAATTACACTGAAATATATCAATTTTTTAATAACAACTGTAAATACAA